CTACTACTACTACTACTGCCTTTGTTTTTTTTATTCCATCTCTGGACTGCGCATAGGCTGCAGTCGAAAAATGCTGTCGTCGCCATTCATGGCTCAAGTATTGGCTGCAGCGCCGCTCACAGGCGAGTCCCATCGGGAGCAAGCCGGCTCCTGCTCCCGGCCCTCGATCGCGAGCCCCTCCGAGAAGCACCTCGCCCCTTTCCGCCTCCTGACTTCTCGTCCCCCTTCCTGCTGCTCCTCCCTTTGCTACGGCTGCGAGGGCGTGCGCGGCGGGACCTGCCGCCCCGTTCGCTGCGGGGGCTTGCGTCGGCCGACTGGGCTGCGCTGTGAGCGGCTTCCACCAAGTTAGTGCACGCTGCCAAGCTCTCCCGCAGCCGCTTTATCTCGCAGGCGATGGCAGGCCCACCCTCGCGGTATACGGAGTGCGGCGGCTGGTCCAGCTCGAGGGGCGGCACATTAGCCTGCGGGGCAGCCGCAGCTCTAGCCCTTGGCTTAGCAGCTGGCGGGCCTTTCTTCAGAAACTCTGTAGAAGTTAGGGCTTCCTTCACTGCGGCCGAGTCAGTGAACGCCACTACTCCCACCAGGCCATTCGCAATCTGTTTCTTGAGATTCCAGTGCAGCAAGTGCTCTTCATGCTTGGCTTGGTGTACTCCCACGAGAGCTTCGATGTCAGCGCCAGCCGCCGGCCTCCCCAGCTGTTCTGCAAACGCGGCAGAATGGATTCCACTGCGTCCACGGTCCAGGGAGGGTTAGCGTAGCCGAATTGATCGTCCTTTGAGGGCATCACAAATCCAACCTCCTGGCAAGTTTCTACCACTACTTTCTCTGGGAAGCACTCTGCTACCTTCGCCTTCATGCGGGGCAAGGCTGTCTTGATCCCCACGTACTATTTTGACGCCTTAGCCTGCGCTGTGTCCTTCTTGAAGTCTGAGGGCGGTGAGGGGCTCGCCTCCAGGGGTGTGTACCTCAGAATGAGTGTCTCCTTCGCTGCCCAATCGAGTGTCGCTGGTGGCATGCTGAAGCTATCAGGCCAGGTGCAATGCCTCGAAGGCCAGAGGGTCCGCTGCACAGCTTCAGCCCATGTGAGGGAGGCAGGCCACTTAAAGCACAAAGTGTCTGCTAGCACCCGCTGCGCGCAGCGATGATTGCGCGGCACCTCGCGCACCACCACAGCTATGGCTGCGCGATCGCCAGGTGGCGACATCCCACTGAGCAGCTTTTGGGCCACTGTAGCAATCAGTGCGGACTCTGCTTTCTGCGAGGCACGCACGTCACCAGCTACATTTGCCGTGAGCGCCGCTAGGGCCGCTACGCTAGCTCCGGCCGGCAGGGGACTGCCCTCGGCGACTTGGGTAGAGCCAGAGGCCTTCCTTGCACCGAGAGGCGGCTGAAGGGCTGGTGCTGAAGTCGAGCCTCCCTGCCCTGCTGATGCCCGCGGTGAGTCGCCTGGCGCACTCACTGTCGGGCCGAACATCTGCTCTGCTAGGCTATGCTCTCAGTTGCCAGTCGTCAGCCGGGCTGCGGCTTTCTCCGGCGCATGTGGGCTGAGGTCGTACCTCTCGGGGGCCGCCGCCTTGGCTGCGGGCGCGTTGCTGGGGGCTGCAGGCACTGCATTGGCCTCAGCTGCGACCTCACGGAGATGCGGCGCAGCATCTGCACCAGCTAGATGGCCCTCCGCTGGGGTCCCTGTGTCCTGCGCAGTGGGCTGAGCGGCCGCCGGGGACGAAGCTGGGGGCGGCGTCTTCTGGGCCTTCACACCGCGGGGGCTGACCTCTGGGCTGAGGGCCTCGCCACCCTGCTCAGACTGCAGGCCGACGACCAGCGCCAGCTCCTCCAGCGCTTCTGAGAGCTCGGAGTCCCTCAGCGACAGCACATCGCTGAGCTGCTTGTTCGCGAGGCGGCAGGCATCGAGCTCCTCTTGCAAGGACAGCAACTGGGCGCGCAGCTGCCCAACCTCGGCCTGAGCGCCTTCGAAGCTCTGCCGGGCCTGCACGTCGGATTGAGCCGCTGCCTGCAGCTGGTGGTACTCGGCCAAGATCCTGGCCACGTAATCTGCAATGACCGCCGGGCTCGCGCTCGCCGGGAGCTGCAGCAGTGCCTGCACGTACCCCAGAGCTTGCGACTTGGTCATGCATGCGGTCGACGGGTCGGACTGGTCGTCTGGGGGGTGCTTGTATCCCCCCATGTGTTCATCCCACACCGGAGCCTCGATAGGCGCTAGCCCCATAGTTCTCCGCATCCCAGTGTTGAATATCACGTGCTTCTCCGGGTCGTAGTCTCTCGGGAGGCCCGGCACGAACCTTCCATGGCGCTCCTGCCGCTCCAAGTCCGGCGGCGCGTACATGCTCATCTGCTGGCCTGCGCTCCAGCCCGCGAGCCCCGGCTGTGTCCAGGCTTGGCCCAGCTGCTGCTGCCAGGGGGCCTCAACGTCGTCGGCGCGGCACTGGAAGCCGAGCGCTGACTCCTTCCACGAGCCCTCCTCTGCAGGGGCCGTGGTCGCGGCACTAGGGAGGGCTTCTGTAGCGGGCAGGGCCGGTTCCGCAGGGCTACGCAGCTTCTGTGCCTGCTGCTTCAACTCCCGCAGGCGGTTCGTGGTGCTGTCGCAGCTGCTGGTTGGTGCAGGCACGCTCTGCAGGGCGCTCGTGGCCGGCGGGGGAGCTGCGGCGGAAGCCGGTGCCGAGCGGCTGTTCTCCTGCCCATTGATGCTCGGCATAAGGACGGCATGCTGCTGGCAGTGCTGGTCGAGTGGCGTGATCAGTCGCTTTAGCTCTCGCAGGGCTGCAGGCTTATCTTACTACTACTACTACTACTACTACTACTACTACTACTACTACTACTACTGCCGCTACTACTGCTACTACTACTACTACTACTACTACTACTACACCTACTGCTGCTACTTCTACTACTACCACTACTACTAGGTGCTACTACGACTACTACTCATACTATCACCATCCCGACCACTACTCCCACTGCGGCTACGGCTACGGCTACGACTGCTACTACCACTGCTCCCCCTACTACTACTACTACTACTACTACTACTACTACTACTAGTACGACTGATACAAAGAATAGAACTCTACTACTACTACTACTACTACTACTACTACTACTACTACTACTACTACTACTACTACTACTACTACTACTACTACTATTACGACGACTACCACGACAACTGGCATAACACCAACAACAACTACAACAACTACATCTAACACGACGGCGACGACGGCTACTACTACTACTACTACTACTGCTACTACTACTACTACTACTAATAATAATAATACTACTACTACTACTAGTGCTACAACTACTGCTACTACTACTACTACTACGACTACTACGGCTACTACTACTACTACTACTACTACTACTACTACCACTACTACTACTACTACTACTACTGCTACTACTACTACTACTACTACTACTAGTACTACTACTACTACTACTACTACTACTACTACTACTACTACTACTAATACTACTACTACTACTACGACTACTACTATTACTACTGCTACTACTGCTAGTACTAGTACTAGTACTAGTACTACTCTTACTACTACTAGTACTACTGCTACTACTGCTATCAGTGCCACTACGACTACGACTACGACGACGACTACGACTACTACTGCTATGGCTACGACTATGTTTGCTACAACTACTGCTGCGAATACTACTCATATTACTACTTATTGTACGACTGTGGCTACTACCACTGATTGATGTTACTCATCCCAGTACAAACTACTGATAAACGTTCGACTGCCAAGTACATCATACTGCTGTTATTGCTGAGTTGCTGACCGTGCGCGTCGGATGTGCAGAGGCGCACTGTTTGGGGCCCACGCACTGGGAACATTTTGCAATGAAGCGACACCGGATGCAGTATGATACTTCCTGGCAGCTCCTCCGACTCCCCCGACGTCCTCCTGCCCCTTGCTCTCCCTTCTCATCCTCATCCTCCTCCCTCAACAACTCCCTCCTCCTCATCTCCTCATCCTTCTCCTCCTCCTGCTCTCCCTCCGCCTCGTCCTCCTCCTCCTCCTGCCCCTCCCTCCCCAGCGTCGTCCGCATCTCCTCCTCCTCCTCATCCGCCGCCTCACCATCACCACCACTACAGTAACTCCACCATTGGCATCAGAATCTTCATCACAATCATCACCACCATCAAAATAATCATCAGCCTTATCAGCAGCATCATCATCAACATACCTGTCATCGTCATCGGCATCGTCATCATCGTCATGCGAACGTTTCCTTATTCGGCATTTCGTCATTGAGCGGAAGAGGGGGTATCTGGTTCCAAACCTCTTCTTAATGCGACTGTCTGCAGCCAATATATACTCCATTTGGGGACGGGGTGCGAGGGCCCAGGCCGATCGGAAAAAGAATGATTCGGGCAACCACGGCCATCAACAAAACCGCGCACATCATCACTATCATCACCATCATCAGCAGCAGCAGCATCAGCATCAGCATCAGCATCAGCAGCAGCAGCATCATCATCATCATCATCATCATCATCATCATCATCATTGTCATCGTCGTCGTCGTCGTCGTCGTCGTCGTCGTCATCCTCATCTTCATCATCAGCATCGTCACCGTCCTCATCATCATCCCCATCCCTTGCCATGGTCCTCCCGTCTCCCTCATTACCTCAGAATGCAAATCCAATGTTGGCTCATGCGCCGACCTTCGCAGGCATTGAAGCAATCTGCCAAACTCGAATCTGATGTGCTCAGAACTCGCACTGGGCAATCCTGTTCTCACTGTACCGGCGGCCCGGGGGGTGCCTTCTCGCCGCCGCAACAAAAAGGGCAGGAGGAGGACAGCGGCAGACGCCGTGACTCATCCCATGGCAGCTCGTGCAGTGGAAAGACGAGGAGGGAGAGGAGGCCCTAACGGCGGGGAGGCTGAGCCCCGAGGCTGAGCCCGGCAGAAGGCACCGCGCCGGCGGCTCGGGGGGGCTGCGGCCGGGCCTTGTACGTGGCCCTTGCGGACGGGCCCTCCGCGCAGCCGCTCACCTCGCCCTGAACGCAGGGCCGCGCCGTCGCCGCTGGCCCGAGGGCTCCCACGAAGCGGCCGGCACCAACGACGAGGAAGATGACGACGAGAGCGAGGACGCCGACTTCGGCCGGCGGTGGCGGGGGGCGGCGACGACGACGGTGCTCACTCACGGAACCGACGTGGACGGTTTCTGAACCATGAAGGCGCTAGGATACATCTTCAGGACGACGTGTGCTCCTCTTGGGCCCGGACGTGATGCTTTCAATGTTTCCCGCCAGCGCGCGTGAAATAAACCTTGGCGGATCCAAATAAACTGGTGCAGGCCCGAATTAGGTTTAGATTTGTGTTACATAGAAAATAATTTCTTTCCGCGCGGTTCCAATTTCGGATGTCGTGGGTAGGATGTCCGCCTTATTCTTGTCCAAGCTGATCTGGAGTTACCCTCTTTTGAACACATACATGTAATGTTCAGTCATGTGACGAGCGGAAATCGCACCCGCGGCACCCAGCCCGCCGCTGTTAAGATTCTGCGGGAGTGAAATGGTTATATTGCAAACTGCTACCTGTCTCTGCCAGAGGCGGGCACTAACGTATAGAAAATCTGGCCTACGCATTGAGGCCCGAGGAGGAGGAGGCGGCAACGGTCAAATGACGACCAAGATGGTTTGCCATGAGATGCACTCACCGCGTCTTGCATCGTCCCGCCATGCAACGCGGACCTCTGCCGCCACACCGTTGTAGATGCGACGGCGGAACCTCTCAAAACACAAGGGAGGGGGGGGGGTGCTTTGCGTGGGCCCCAATAAGGGTGGGCCAGCTTGACCCAGAGAGGCTTGAGCCCCAGGTGGGGTAAGGAGAGGGAGAGAAAGAGAGAGAGAGAGAGAGGGAATAGAGAGAGAGAGAGACATAACAAACAAAGCAATACAACTATAAGCAACAAAAAAGGGAGGGACAGCAAGAGAGATAGAGATAGAGAGAGAGAGAGAGAACGACCGAGGCAGAGACAGAAAGAGAAAGAGAGAGAGAAAGAGAGAGAGAGAGAGCAAAGCAAGGGCAGGAACAGAGAGAGAGAGAGAGCGCGAGGGAGAGGGAGCCCGCACGTCCCTGGAGGGTGCGACAAGGTCTAGCGTTTACAGCAGACAACTTGAGCTGTCTTTGGCAGCAGTGTGCACGAACGGAGCGAGCTCGAGCCTATGCAGCGAGGCTCGAGGAGGGGGCAGGCAGCGCGGCAGCGGTCAGATGACGACGACCATGCTTCGGCATAAGATGCGCCCACCGCGTCTGGCATCGTTCAGCCGCGGGGAGCGGGCCTCCGCCGCCGCACCATGGTAGATGAAACGGCGGACCCTGTCAAGCACAGGGCGGGGGGGGGCCCTTCGTGGGACCCCCAAAAAAGTGAGCCCTCCCCAAAAGATTGCCCCAAGAGCGCCCAAGGGGTGCCCAGGAGCGCTCCCAGAGCCCCAAGAGGCAATTTTCAAAGAGGCCGTCAGGAGGCCGCCAAAGGGGCCCCGGGCGAGCCGCAACAGGGTCCAAAAGGCTTCCACGATAGCTCCACGATGGTTCAAGAATCACCCATCAAGCCTTCAAAAAACTCGCGGAACGAAAGGTGCGCGAAGACCTTGACGGCTGATTATGCGAAGCCTCAGCGAGGTTCTTAAAACGACAGCGCTGGGCATCGGTTCTGGGTAAAGTGAATGTCCTGTTGCACGGGCTCATCCGTCGCCGGTATGATGCGGTTCTCCACAGATTCTTCGAGGCGGCTGTTCCACTGCATGCTTCTACACTTCCCTGATCAGTGCAAGTCGCCTGGCGATCGCTTCTTGGGATGCACGCAGCGCGCGGGCTGTCTGCGTCTGCGGGCTGGAATGCCCTCCCCCCTCGCACGAACGCGCGGCCGTGCCGACGTCCGCCCGCACCTGCGCCGTCACTCCAGTGCACTCCCCCGCGAGGAGGGAGATCGGGGTGACCGGCGGCCCACGAATGTCCCTTTACTAGGGGTTATCTCCCCTACCTCTCCAGCTCGTCGCCCATCTGAATCCTGTCCCTCCCCGTGTAGAATGAGGAAAACAACACCAACTCAAAACTTCGGAAGTCTCCACGGATTCCTTCGATCAGCGCTCCGAAACATCAGTCCCCCATCGACAGGTTGGAATCGATAGAATGTGAGAAAAAATCAAAGTCCAGCTCGCACATCCAGCGTACCGCGGCCATCAGGCCGCAAACGACCCCGACGGTCCGTGAGGGTCTCCTGGGGATCCCGTCTCGCCGAGCGCCACCAAGGATACATTACGGCGTCACGCTCCGCCTCGTCCACCCAGCATACTGTGGCCGCCAGGCCTCAAAAGAGTCTCGGGTGAGACCTGGGGATCCCACATCGCGAGCCCCACCAGGGAGGCGTCATGGCGCCATGCCGTCCACAGACTTCTAGAACAGACCTCAAGAACAAACACATGATGTACACGGACCAGTACTACAACCGAATTCGATACACACATATACCAACAATACATAAGAATGAAAACCATGAGCCTCTTATCATTCAGACCAGACGAACTTATCGCACACCGAGACGGTTCCATCACGCAGCTGGGCTCTACACCGACCACAGAAGTGAGTAGCACACATCCGCAACGTGCATTCTATCAATAGCATAGACCAGTAGAACACATCAACACTAGGACATCCATAGCAGGCACACGTTGCATACCTATACGACCGCCCTGCGGGCGATAAGGAGGTTTGGGGGGGATTGAGATCAAATGCCCACCCTGACTGACCTCCAGCCTGTCACCCTGATCTCATCTCATCTCATCTTGCCGGGACGCCCGGGACACCCGGGACACCGCCCGGCCCAACTGGGACACCTCCCGGCCACCGGCGGACGGGAAACGGACTTTCGCTCCTACTTCGGCCTAGCTATAGGAGGATCACGCGCAGCTTCGCCTCGCCCGCAGGCACGACACGAACACGAAACCGAAACCGATTTCCCGGTGGGGAGTCTCCGTTTCACTGCGATCTCACCCCCCAACCTCCGATACCCAAAAAGCGCTCCGAAACCCGACACCCATAACATATACGTATCCATATCAGCAGCCACGATCACACATCGATGTGATAAGCCAAGGGCAAACACAAGCACTAGGCATGGAGAGGACGCGTTTTCAAAACTCCGTAGGACCTCACACCAATGACATCAATCTGGTAACCACACGCACAGGGAACAGACACATCAACCACACTCAGAATCACAACATGAGCGTAAACACACATAATACAAGCACAGTGTATAAGAGCATGTAGCGCATGAACAACCATGCGCACATACCCAAGAGTCATAACATGCGCAACGACCACGCGTCAGCAATAATGTAACATATCACGCTGTATCACACGTGACAGGCTAGAAGAGCACGTGCGGGAGCTCCCTGGTCGGGATCGCCCGCGGCGAAGTGATGTGTATGCAGTTTGTTCGTGTTCGACACTCCCCACCCCCCCTTCCACCCCCCCTGCCCGCTCCCCCCCCGCCCGAAGTCTGGGTGCCCTCCCTCTCGCCCCATGCCTGCGACACGCGCCCGTCTCCTTTGGGGGTCCCAAGCCGGTGCGCTAACAAAACCATGCGGTGACCTCGAAATCCCAGAAGACCTCACCGCACGGTCTATCACCTAACGGTTGAGGACCTTGAAAGCCCCAGTGGCCCGAGATCTTCCTCGCAGAACGGTCCAAATCCCGGCTCTCCCCGAATCCCCACTGACTGAACTGGCGGTGTGGTCACTTCACCGTTTTCGGGACTTCTGCACTTCCAACCTCTCCCTCCCCCACTGAAGAAAAAAAGCAATGTGTAACATTAGCCTGGCGAGGAACCCAACCCATTCTCACAGTAGGGCAAGGGCACATGAGCCTTGCTCGTGGTTAAGAGTCGGGTCCGAAGTGCTACTGGGGAGTGCGGTGGAGCTCCTTAGGGGTGCACGAAACGTGTGAGGGGTGCGCCGAAATGGTCGGGGCGACGGCATGTGACCCCTGCCACTGGGGCCTTCGATGGAGCTCCCTAGGGGACCACGAAATGTGACAGGGGTTACCGAACTGGTCGGGGCGGCGGCATGTGGACCCTGCTACTGGGGCCTTCGGTGGAGCTCCCTAGGGGCCACGAAACGAATGAGAGGTGTGCTTAAATGGTCGGGGCGGCGGCATGTGAATCCTGCCATGCCACTGAGGCCTTCGGAGTTCCCTGGGGGGCCACGAAACGCGTGAGGAGTGCGCCGAAGTAGGCACGAGACGACGTGCAGATGTGATGAGGAGGATGATAAAGATGGTAACGATGATGATGATGATGATGATGATGATGATGATGATGATGATGATGATGATGATGATGATGCTGCTGCTGCTGCTGCTGATGATGATGATGAAGATGATGATGATGACGACGACGACGACGACGACGACGCCGACCATGGTGATGGTGGCGATGACGATAAGGATGGTGCTGACGAAAATGACGAGGAATAGGAACAGGAGAAGGAAAGAAGAGAGGGAGAGGAGGAGTAGGAGACGCGCGGCGCTGCGAATTCAAAACGAGGGCCCAACACACAGGAGGGTTGGGAATGACCCTGAGACGTACCCAACCCGTTCTAAACATGGGGCGGCCATACGGACAAAACGTGTACTAAGGACGGGTGGCAAGGACGCAAGACCCTCGGAGGACGGAGTTGTGATTTTCGGGAAGCGGGCAACCAATGAAAACGGCAAAATGCGGGCTGCAGATGCAAGGACGCACGGGCACCCTGGATGAAGGCGCGCGTCCTTACTAGGCGCGTCGACTGCACTAAAGATCGCTCAATACAAACGAACATGATGAAAATACCGGCAATTCGCAGCACCCCCCCAGGGAGCCGCGAGGTCGCGGCCGGGACTGCCTACTCCCCCACTCTTCTGTGCCTCCCAGGAGCCCACGAAGGTGGCGACAATGGCGCAGGTCGAGGCCACCCAAGAAGCCTCGAGGTCTCGACGAGATCAGCGTGACACCCAACTCCGCTGGACCCCCCAGTTGCCCACGAGAACTGTTTCAATTGCGCAATGCGCATCCCCCCACGGTGCCCCGAGGTCTCGACGGGATCCGCGTGACACCCCACTCCGCTGACCACCCAGGAGCCCACGAACGTGGCGACAATTGCGCAGTGCGCAGCCACCCAGGGAGCCGAGCGAGGTTTCGACGGGATCCGCGTGACGCCCCACTCCTGTAGACCTCCCAAGAGCCCACGAACGTGGCGACGATTGCGCAGTTCGCAGCCACCCAGGGAGCCGCGAGGTCTCGACGGAATCCGCGTGACACCCAGTTACGCTGGAGCTCCCAGGAGCCCACGAAAATGGCGACAGTGGTGCAATTCGCAGCCCCCCCTGGGAGCCGCGATGTCTCGACGGGATCCGCGTGACACCCCACTTCGCTGGACCCCCAGGAGCCCACGAAAGTGGCGACTGTGGCGCAATTCGCAGCCCCCCCTGGGAGTCGCGCGAGGTCTCGACGGGATCCGCTGGACCACCAAAACGAGAACCCAACACATGAGGGTTGAGAAACACTCTTTCGGAAGTGCGCGCGGACTTCTTGGACAGGCCGCCAGGGTGGTCCAGCACCGATCCAAAGACTCACAACGCCGATTTAAGAAATCCGCGCGGACCGCAATTCATGTTCATGCTGATCTTCCTCCACGCTGGCATGGACTTGGCCTGACTGGCTGGCTTACCCGCCGCGGGTGGGGATGGACGCTGCTCCCTTCAGATTTTCTCATGACCTATTCCTACCTGGGGTGGGCGGGCAGGTGGGGCCGAAATATCATGGCCAAGGGGGATGGAGATCGGCTAGACGATCTGGGTCGGACGAAAGGGTGTTGTTGCAAGGGGGTGAACGAGTCAGCTCACGTATCCGATGTCTCTGGCACCTCCCGGCGCTGGAGGCGCCCATGCATCGAGAAAAGCGCTCGGCGACGGGGCCGAAACCAGCTGCATGCAGCAGATGTCATACCCTTCCCTGTCCCCTTCCCCCCCTCCACCCCTCCCCCTTCCCCCCCGCTCCGTCTCGGAATCCAGCGCCAGCCCGGCGGGCAGCTCGGGCTCCACGGTGAACCTCGACACCTGCGGACTCCAGCGCCACCGCCCCCGAGGCTCTGGCCCCGCCCCTCCCCTCCTCGCCCCTCCACCGCCTCTCCCCTCCTTCTCCGCGAGGGCCTTGACAACCTCCTTCCCCTCCCGCCTCCCCATTCTCCCGCCTTCTTATACCTCCTCCTCCTCCTGTCCTTCCTCCTCTTCCTCCTCCTCCTCCTCCTCCTCCTCCTCTGGCTGTTCCCCATCCCGCTCTTCAACCCCTCCTCCTCCTCTACCACCATCCTCACCCTCGTTGTCCTCCTCGTCTTCATCCTTCTTCCTTCCTCCGACTCCTGCCGCCGAGGCAGAACGGCTGATGCTGCTGCTCCCGCCTGCCCACCCTGCCGTTGCCACTGCTTGTACCCGGCCGGCCTGGCCCGTGACGGTGGGCCGCACGGAGACGTGCCTGGCGGGCGCCCACCCCCCGCCGCCAAGAGCAGTGACTACCCACCCCCACGCAGCAAGAAAATGTTCTGCGGACGGACGGACGAGGGAGAAGCGTCATCAACAACCGTAGCGGGGGCAGCAGCATGACCAGCAGGAGCAGGGGGAGGCGGATGAGCGCTGGCGGTGGAAACTGTGATGGTCCAGCTTGCGTACGCCTGCGGGGATAAATCACAACCCTGCAGCTGCAGGGCTCTGCCTTACACTCTGCTTCCACCATCTCCCTAATCTGAACCAACGCCTCTACCCAGGATTGCTCTGGCGTTGCACTGAGGAGTCCGCTGTAGCAGATACGGTTCGGCTGAAACACAGCTTCCAACTCAACACTGAAACGACACAGTGATTGCTGGCAATGTCCGTCCTGACATGCACTGACCGCAACACTGTAACCGATAACGATGGCTTCCAACGTCGTCTGTTCTCAAGGCCCCGTACCTGAGACATAATGCAACCGATGGCAACGACATTCTGCATGTTACGTCCACTCCCGCTGGATCTGTCAAAATCCTGGCTTGCAATGTCCTGGCGCCTGGGGCTCTGATCTGATCTTCTGCCTGTCACCCTCTTCCGGGTCGTCCCACCGCCACGGGTTCAAGCGTCCCGCGCTGGCCACCGGGACGAACCTCTGGTCTGGCGGAGGACGCTGTGTGCGCGTGCGTGCGTGCGTGCGTGCGTGCGTGCGTGCGTGCGTGCGTGCGTGCGTGCGTGTGAGTGTGTGTGTGTGTGTCGAGCACCGGCCTCTTCGTTAGCTTCGCGGTCTGCAGTTGAGGCCCCCGGCAACTGTTGTACACGTGCGTTCATCTGTGAGACCACGTCCCTGCGTGATTTGCCTGCCGATCAGAAAATTACACCAAATCCACTATACGAGCGCAACGCCATGACATGGTAAAGTCATACCTCGGATGATTGTGTCAAATGGCCCAGAATCTTCTTGGCAATCAAAGATGGGCGCCCTCTCGACCCTGTGCCCCCGAGCCAGCCAGGCGCCCGGCCGAGAGCGTTGGGTTCGCGCATGCTCGGCGTCTGCGCATGACCTCATCTACTGAGACCTCCAAGACAGAGCTTAAGGGTGGACAAGGAGAAGGATGGGCAGGTGGAAAAGAAACTTATCATTAAGGGAAATGGGTCCTGGGCTCCTGGGCTTCCCTTTGGACGGGTTTCTCCCCGACACCGCATAATAACATGATTCCCGCCAAGTGATGATCCTCGTGGTGAGCAAGGAGAAGAAAGCTCGCAGGATGATAAGAAAGCTGCGGGCAACGAGTGGAAAGAGTATGCAAGACAAGAGCCACCGCCTTTCGACCGGGAGCGCCGACATGGGGAACTCCTTGGCGAGTGTGGGGTACCTCGAGGATGTGATGCGAAAGGAGAGGAGGGGGAATGGGCGGATGAGATGGCGATGGGAAGGGGGTGATGAGAGGGACGAGTGGGCAGGACAGGGGAGAAAGAAGCGAGGCGGAGGGACTCGGCTAGTGGGAATGGAGACTGCGAGAGGGAAGTGGGGGCGAAGGGAGGCAGTGTGAAGACGGATCCGATGGGGGAAGCTCAGGAGAAGGAAGGGCGGGCAGAGGGGATATGTCGGGCGCGGCCTAGCCGACCCCTTCTGTGACGAGCCCATCCCTTGCTCTGGAGCCTCCCCTCTGGCCGGCTGCCCACGTCTTGGATCGAAGCGAGGGGGTCCTCATGAAGGGGTCGGTTTGCTAGGGGTCCGTCAAACCGACCTTGAATTTGGGGCGAGGGGATTGGGTGAAGACGGTGCGACACGTTGCGCGCGAGTCCGTAGCTTCATGTCCCGTGTGACCGGTCGCCCTTCCCTGCCCGAGCACCCTCAGATACTGCAGCCCCGTTCGAGTCGGGGACTCGCGCTCGGAAACAAGCTTGGGGACGAGAGAAGGGGGAGGGCAAGACTAGTCAACATCGCATCGAGAAATATGATCAATTCGGGACGCACTTCGGATCGGGCTACATCGCCAAGGAGTCGAAAACGATCCTGGTCGGCCGCGCCACGATGCATAACATCGCACAACCATCGGGCAACATCGGACCGTCGGGGTACCACGGCCGAGTCGAATCGGGTTGGCCGAAACCGATATCAGTTCGGACCCTGGGCAGGGTGTGGCGACGAGGGCGGCCGAACGAGGGAGGGCACGCCAGCCCCGACGGTGGCGCCCGCACAACGGTGAAGGTGAGCGTGGTGCGGCCTTCGCCCTGCGCGGGCGCGCTCGCGCGCGCCGCCGCGAACCCAAACGAGAGGAGGACAAGAGAGGAACAGCAGAGCGGGATACGCTGCGAGGAGAAGTACGAGTACCGCATGCAAGGATTCGAACTGATGGCGAGAATATCGACACGGCACGGCCACGTTGGCGTGTGGGCTCGCAAGCGAAACGCACACGGGAACTTGTGTTGCTCACCATCCACGCGAAGACCAGCGGCGGAGGTAGAGAAAGGAGCAGCAGGAAAGGGACGAGGTATAAGCTATAAGCAGGTGCGAGTGTAGGAGCAAGGTGCTGGACAGCACGAACGAGAAGGCGTGCCCACCTACTCCCAGACTCCCTCTATCCGCCACAATGCCGTAGGCACTAAGTGAAGTGTCCTTAGGTCCCCATCCAGCTCTCCAAGTACTGAATACCGACTATTTTTAAGCAGCGTCTAGGGACCCGGTTGCCGGTTTTCTTGGGGTTCCCTGCGGGAGGTCGGTGGCTGGCCGTAAGACTTTCCTCCGGAAACTGGAGAGCGCAAAGACAACCGCACAGCTCCCAAAGGCCCCCAGCGTAGTCCAAGAGAGCCCCAGTAATGCTCCAAGGCGACCCCCAAGCAGGCTGGAGTAGGCGAAAGACAACTCTCCCGAAGCAGTGTTTGCGTTCAGGGCTTCTCGCTCGGCTTAGCTAAGGGGTTGTATGCCAAGGTTCCGCCTGGTGCCCTGGTGGGCGCCCGCTGAAGCCTCGTGTTGGGTGTGCGCGCCGAGGTTTCAATTGGTGCCCACCCTTGGCCGCCAGTGGGCTCTCAGTGGGGGCCTCGCGCGCTGGGTAAATGTGCCGAAGTTTCGCCTGGCGCCCGCAAGTGGCCACCTTGTGGGCGCCCCGTGCGCAAGGCGGCCGAACAACTTGAACCACAGAGCTTGCACCACATAGTATTTGCCACATGAGGAGTTTGCCACACTGATTCTCTTCTATTGCAAAAAGGGCTGGACCCCCCCCCACAAAGATTAATCGCCCCCTTTTCGTATTGCAATGTGCGTATGATTCTGCCCCATCGTCCATCCTAGATTTAAGCTCGCGCCATCCCAACCGAGCCGGTACCCGCCCCCCCTCCCCGACATCCCTGGCCAAAAAAAACTATGCGCGCGCATTCGTTGATCAACAATCATCAAATGTAAAAAACCTTTTGTGCTAAAACATACGAACAACGCACGCGCGCGTCGTCGCGCGCGCATTCCAAAATCTGGGGGTTATATGTAAACATGGTGTCGTAGGGACTTCAAAATGAAGCCGCAAAATGAAACCCCAAAATACACACGTAAAGACACAAGGTTTCATCGCAACGCGGACTCTCAAACCAAATTTGCGCGTTTCTGCAATTGTTGAGCAGCATCGAATTGTTTTGCCAAGTTCACAAAATGTTACCAAACGGGTTTTGCACGAACGTGTCGACATCGTTCGAACGCCCTTGCGCGCGTGCCGTCGCGACAATCGTTTCTGCCAACAGTAAGGCGGAATGCACGCGCGCGCGACGTCGCGCGCGCATGCCCAACTCCATTGACAAAACTTCGGTGTCGCACAGATTTCAAAACCGAGTGTCCTACGAAAACAGATAAACACACATGGTTTCGCAAAACTATGTTTTTTAAAAGTGCGCTCGCGCACTTGCTCATATTTAAGGAAGCCATCGGTTTCTCAACATTGTCATGGGAATTTTGCAACGTGGCCTCTGGCGCCGCATGCCGAAATCAATCGCACGCCCTTGCGCGCGCGTGCTGGGAAAGGGGGGGTGGCACGATCCGTGTCGAATAATACCCTGCGGGCCATTCTCGCGCGTCGGCCGCGCGCGCGTGTCAATCTCGTTCCAAGCGATGGCGCCGTCATCGTCGTCGGCGTGATCAGCATCGGCGCCCGCATTGGCACTGAAGTGCCCGCTGGGAAATGCCCAGCGGTCGGCACCACCGCGGCAACGTCGGTCACGCCAAACTAGCTGGCCGCTGCGCGCGCGTGTTTGGGTTGGCGCGGCCGCAGAGATGCACCAGCCAGCGCCGAACACTCATGCAAGAAGAGTCCGAACCGAACTGGTAACCGTGAACCGGCGGCTCCTGCAACCGAACCGCCCGAACCGGAGCCCGAACCGGCCCGGCTGAAACCGGACCGGGCGGTTCGAACCGAACCGGCCGGTCGAAACCGGCCCGAACGGCAAGCCCGAACCGGGTGGAACCGAACCGGGCCCCGGGACTCCCCACCGGCCCAAGAAAGCCCCCAGAAGAGCCCCGGCCCAGCCCCCCCACCACCCCCGAACCGGCCCCGGGAGAGCAGCCCCCTGCCCCGGCCCAGCCCAGGCCCAATTTGGAGAGCAATCCCCCCGGTACCCCCCCCCGGTGCCCCCCCCCCGGCACCCCCCCCCCCCCCCGGTGCCGGCACCCCCCCCCCCCCCCCGGCCCCCCCCCCCCGGTGCCGGCACCCCCCCCCCACCCCCCCCCCCCCGGTGCCGGCCCCCCCCCCCCCCCCCCCCGGTGCCGGCACCCCCCCCCCCCGGTGCCGGCACCCCCCCCCCCGGTGCCGGCACCCCCCCCCCAGGTGCCGGCACCCCCCCCCCCCCCCCCCCCGGTGCCGGCACCCCCCCCCCCCGGTGCCGCACCCCCCCCCCCGGTGCCGGCCCCCCCCCCCGGTACCCTCCGGCCCAAAACCGGCCCCCCAAAACCGGACCGCCCCGCGACCGCCGAACCGAGCCGGCATAACCGACCCGGACTGGCAAAACCGGACCGACCAAAACCGGACCCCGCGCCGAAATCGAACCGCTGCAACCGAACCGGTCCGCCGCCAAACCGGCCCGAACCGGCCCGAACCGGACACTTCCTGCTCATGGCAATCGCCACCGCAAGGGTTTTGTAAACCAAATTGCGGGTGGATGGGTGGGGCGTTTGCAACAGCATGGGATGCGTCAACTTGCTTGTGAAAAATCTCCGTTCTTAAAATCTAAGACCCACCGCCACCAACCCCCAGCTTTATGTATTTTTTTTGCGTTGCAATGTACATGCGATGCTGCCCCATCGCCCATCCTAAATATGAATTCGTACCATCCCAGCCCAGCCGGTATCGACCCCACGCTTTCATACTCTGCAAAACGTACTACTGCGCGCATCCTTTCATCACAAAACATAAATTGTCTTGAGCCTCGTCCAACATGAAACGAACTGCGCACGCGCGCGTCGTCGCGCGCGCATGCCGAAATCTGTCAAATACAGTCGGTTTCGGAAGGTTTTCAAACCGAGCGCCCATACAACATGTCAAAACACATGGTTCCGCAACACCGATAATCAGAACAAAGAAAACTGTGCGCGATCTTCCGAATTCTGAAAACTATGTGTTGTTTAACATGTTCCGATCATGCTGCTACACGGGCGTCGGGCGCGCGCATGCCGAAATCATTTGAACGCACTTGCGCGCGTTCCGTCGCGAGAATTCCTGGCAAAAAAAAAGGACACGAAGTGCGCGCGCGCTGGCGCGCGCGCATGCCTACGTATGTTTCCTATCTTCATGTGTTTGAGCATTTGGTACACAAAAAGCTGTCTCGTCACGACTTTAAGGCCGAATGCCCACCAATCATTCAAAACCACCAGGTTCCGCAACATCAGTGTTCCAAAAAAGCTCGCGCGCGCGCTCTTGCGAAGTCTTAGAGAAAGCCATTGGTTTTCAAAATTTCCACTGGTTTCTGCCAAGCGGTCCTCTGGCGCCGCATGCTGACATTATTCGCACGCTCTTGCGCGCGTGCTGGGGGGGGCACGATCCATGTCAGATAATACCATGCGGGCCACTCTCGCGCGTCGGCCGCGCGCGCACTTCGAACCCTGTCCAAAACCTTCATCACCGACGCGAGGACGCCGTCATCTTCGTCGGCGCGGTCAGCATCGGCGCCCGCACTCGCCGCGCCTTCGTGAGTGCGAACATCGTCACCAGCATCGCCACTATCATCATTGTGTCGAAAGTAGTCGGCGTGTCCTCATCCTTTTCCCCCGACGTCGGCCCATGCATTTTTCCTGGAGTGCGTCCCCGCAATCTCCTGGAGGAGCCCATGAGCTGCCACGAGGGCCCTCCAGGAGGCCCAGCAGATCGA